GAGGGAGGGAGGGAGGGAGGGAGGAAGGAAGGAAGGAAGGAAGGAAGGAAGGAAGGAAGGAAGGAAGGAAGGAAGAAATGACAAGAAAGGAAAGCCAGTTAACCAGGTGCTTCATACTTACAAGAGACGATATGTTTGTGGTATTGCAGAAGTCCTGAGACAAGGCATCAAGAAGGAAGTCATCACTCAAGGGCTGCAAGAAACAGAAAAAATATCAACAAAAGGAATGCTGGCATTCCACCATATCACACTCTGATAAACTCACTAAAAGGGAAAGCTATGCCCTTCCCAAGTAACCAATGAGAGGCCACAAAAGACTGACTCAGAGAAAGCAGATGGCTTACTGGAAGTTGTTCCTTGGGCTCTTTTGGCAGGAGTGGCTTTCCATCCTTATCCTATTCAGAATAAAAACATGATATTAATAATTGTACATATTATCCCAAATATGGAACCTATACACCTTATAAGGAATTAACAGGCTAAACCTACTGTATATTTTCACATAGGTTATTCATTTAAGAAACATTATCATAGCAGAGAATATATGTACTGTAATACTGTAATTCCATTCATATCTAGAGTCAGTTTACATGCATCATGCCTTCCTTGGCCAAGGGGTCGAACAGCACATTCAGTGTGGCTTGTGACCCAAAGAACAGAAATGAATGCAAAAGAAAAATATGTGAATTTTTTAAGTGGTATGTTTCAGGGGTGTATCAGCAAACCTCTCTTTTATAAGGGAATACTAGGACCTCAATCAGCTAAAGTCCAAATGCTCAGGGAGCTTGTTTCTGGGTGGAGCACTCTCAAATTTAGGGCTCAGATTATGTTAAGCTTCAAATGTGGTTTCTAGTGGTACTTTTGAGTGGCAGAACAAAACCAATGAATTATTTGAGCCTCCTTAATAAAAGAAGATCTATAAATTAATGACAGTTTCCATCTATTTGTCTGTACAATGTATAAATGAGTTCAAGGGTACATTCAAAGATTTCTCCTAGGAAAGTGGTCAAAATGTTTTGCTTTGTTTTCTGTATTCCAAATGTGCTATGTAAATGTTTAGAGCTATCTGCTGCTTTCTTATAGCTAAGACAACCCTCCTTGCCCTCTGAATTCACTTGTAGCTTTAGCCCTTTTTATAGGAGGAATCTGCTACTTCCAGACCATGTTTTAGCTGAAAAGTCAGTAAAGATCCCAAGTGAGGCATGGGACCCTGAGGGCTCCTTTGCTCTGCATTAAAATGGAAATCTACCTTTTACTACCTCATCAAGTAGCAGGAAGGGGAAATTTGAGGTCTGACCACAACAGAGAGCAGAACCTCACTATAGTGACCTGATGTGAGGTAGGTAATGAATGACAACAATATTTAAACAAGAGGTCAAGCCAGCAACCTGGAAATGTGACAAAGCACTGGGTAACTGACAATGCCTGAGATAATTCAGAGGACAAACTAACACTAAATAAAGGGGGCCAGGGAAAGCAATCCCTGAAGTAGCACTACTATGCTTCAGTGAGGGGAGAAAGTAGCCAGCTTCCTACTGAGTAACTGCATATGGCCTGCTTCTATGGAACTAGGATCAGAGACAGATCTGTGGCCTTGAAAATGTCCTGAAGAATTTTTAAAACAATGTATGTACGAGCTGCAAATAATTGAAACTCCACCAGTTTGGGCTGCAGTATGAAATGCAGAAGTGTTCAGGATAATAAACTTTAAGTAAAGGAGAATTCAGTGTAAGATCTTGAGTTGCAAAATAAACCAGTGCATGTGGATGGCTGAGGACTCTGAATTCAGCTTCTCGAAACTGCTGTTAAAGTAAATTTGAACTTTCCTGTTGGTGGCACATTAAGAAGATGACTATTTGTTCAACTGCCTATGTGTCTGCTCTGTTTAAAATGTACACTGGAACTAATAATAATGGGATCGCTCCATTGGTCACTTGGTCTACATATCCTGTCCTTTCAATATGAAGAGAACAGGTCAACTTATCACTTTACTCAGTATTTAACAAGTTCTCATGCTTTCAACTTATACTTAAGGATTAAAAAGTTTTCTGCATAACTTCTGTTTAACCTGCAGAAGGTTTTCCTATATTGCTGGTGTTATCACGAACCACATTTCTGAAGGGAAAAATATTTGGTGGCCTAGATGTTAATTTTTCTTTATATTAAAGGAAGAAAAGGCTACTTAAGAATATATTTTAGTTTCTATTGCTATTGCCCTTGGTTGCTTCCCAGAATTTGAAGGTAAGTCCCTATTGCTTGACACCACTACAATTTTGGACACAGGACTTGGAGGAACTGACCTGGAAGACTCCTCCCTGAGGACTAGCTTTCACTGTATTAGAAGATGCTATGCAAGCTGCCAAGGGAAAAATCAGTCAATAGTCCTACCCAGCTATGATGGGTATGAACCACAATGACTAGTATGATAAGATATCCCTAAAGATACAGTAGTGACATATATCTTGGTGCTACCCATCAGCTTTCTAATTAGACTTAAATACTGCCCAATAGTAAAGAGTTTGTGTCTGGTGCTGTATACATAGCCAAGGGTCCATGGCTGGTGAGGCTATGGAACTTTATAGAGAATCTATTATTGCAACTTTCCCAAACCAATATTACCTTTAACTGCATTCTCTTTGTTTTTGATATTTTATTTTAATTACAACATCTCTCCCTTTCCTTTTCTCCCTTCAAACTCTCCCTTACACCCCTCCTTACTCTCCTTCAAATCTGTGGCCTCTTTTTTCATCCATGATTATATGTATATATGTATTTGTATATACATGTATATTCCTAAATACAAGCCATTGAGTTCATATAATGTTACTTATATGTATTTTGTTTTTTTGTTTTGTTTTGATTTTTGTTTTTCAAGACAGAGTTTTTCTGTGTAGTTTTGATGCCTGTCCTGGATGTCTCTCTGTAGACCAGGCTGGCCTGGAACTCATAGAGATCCACCTGCTTCTGCATCCCGAGTGCTGGGATTAAAGGTGTGTGCCACCGCCGCCCAGCACTTATATGTATCTTAACTGTGTTCTTTTTTTTTTTTTGGCTTTCCGAGACAGGGTTTCTCTGCGTAGTTTTGCGCCTTTCCTGGAGCTCACTTGGTAGCCCAGGCTGGCCTCGAACTCACAGCCACAGCGATCCGCCTGGCTCTGCCTCCCGAGTGCTGGGATTAAAGGCGTGCGCCACCACTGCCCGGCTCTTAACTGTGTTCTTAATACTAATCCTTATACCCACAGAGAAGTGTAGCTCTCATCCCTCATCAGAGAAGCTTCTTGTTGCAGCAGATGAAGATTATCACAGAAAGCTACAACTGACCAAAATGCACAGAACAACTGACCGTGAGGTGTCCAGCTCCAACTGATATATCTACAACACAACTCCACAACTAAGGCTTAGGGAACATCACAGACAAACAGGCAGAAAGAGTGTAAGAGCCAGAAGACCAGTACGTCTGCTGCAGGATTGCATCTTCTATATGATGGGAAAGCCACACTCATGAAATCTCACAATTTGATTGCTTAAGCAAGACTTGAACAATGACAATGTCAGCTGACATGCCAATGTAGAAGAGGGAAATCTTAAGAGGTCTCATGTCTAGATGAAGAGCTACTAATGAATGCTGAGAGAGGAAAAAACAATATTCCCCAGGGATGAGCTCCATAACTGTTCATCCAAACAAAGTGCTAAGTCATAAAAACAAACATACATACAAACAAAACCAAATGACTCATTAGCTTGTATTTATATATTAACTTATGCGTATACATGTATGTGTGTGTGTGTGTTTTCAAAAATAAAGAAAAAGAGGCCTTGAATTTGAAGGAGAAGGGGAAAGGTAGAGACATAGGAGGAGTTAGAGAGGAGGGAAATGATGTAAGTTCAGTATACACACACATATACAAAATTAAAATGAACAAATTTTAAAAGAATGTGATTTAGCTCCATATCTACTATTCTAACATGGTATTAGTGCTAATACAATTTCGGGTCAGAACATAAAGAAATGGCATCTTTATATTCTAGATCTATTATCAGCTCCCTCTTTATGATTATAAAATTTAGTTAGAAAATGATATGGGAAAATACTCAGCCTGCTTACCTTGACCTCTTCTAGTTTATACTCAGGAGGAATTGTTTCTTCTTTTTCACCAAGTTTTTCATAGTCTTTTTCTTTAGCCTTCTCCTAGATACAAGTGGTATCATTTTTAGTGTCTCCTCCTACACAATGCATTCCTCAGAGATTAAATTTGAGGTTTCTATTGTTAGCTTCAAACATGCATATGACCATTGTTAACAGATCCTCAACAGCTTCAACTTTTAACACTGCTTCCAGTTAGCAGGCTCAGATACCACCTCTCAGCCTGCTGGGCTAGCCGCCTGTTGGGAGGAGTATTATTCTACTTTTCTTAGGAGCCCTCAGCAAAGGATGAATACAGGTGGACAAAGATGGGATTCATGAAACTTAGACACAGGCACTATAGTGATTCAACATTGGCACTTCCTAAGATTTAGCTTATTAAACAGGATATATGCAGTATCAGAGAAAGACCACTGATCATGCTTTACAGATAGATTTTTAAAAACAGAGTGTTAACTTATTGGAGGGCAGAGGTGGATGGTTAATAAGTCATTTTGTAGACACATTTGAACCACCATTACTTTGACTTTATCCACTACAGGTTTTTCATCTTCTGGATTTGCTTCTTTTTTCCCCAGGCTTCCAGCCAAGGTTTCGACAGCATCATCTGGAGCCATGCTCTTCTGCAAGGACAAAGGTGGTTAAACCTAAGTTGTTACTCACACTTACCAATTCAGAAAGGCACATGCTTATTTCAGGTCTACACTATTTTTAATAACTTGAGGCATCAATTTAATTAGAATGGAGGTTTTGAAATGTTAAGAATGTTAAAAATTAAAGCAAGTTTCTTATATTAAAAACTGTGCATGCAATTTGTATATGGACAATAAAGACCTTACAAGATCCAGCTAGAATTTGGGCCCACGAAAAAAGAAGATAAAGATAACAGAAGCTGACAGAAGGGAAAGAAGACAGGATTTCTGCCACCAAGCTTGGCCATGCCCAGGGGAGAAGGCACAAGTTTGTTCTCTGGTGCTTCCACTAGCCACATGGTTAACATGGGCTCAGGATTCTCCTGCTTGTGATTGACCATCATCAATGCACAATGAGAATGACCTACCTGAGTCTCACTATTCTGAATGAAATATGCTCACTCATGATGTTATAAGCCGGATTTGGCTACACCAACATTCAAACAAATGAACAGGAGTACAAATGAGGCATGTAAGGGGGAAATGAAGAAACCATGTATGGGTCAAAAGACAGGACAGGTTCTGGCTTTCCAAACTATGGGTCATAAATGTTCCTTAGTGGTTTTAAAAAATTATTTGAATGTTTTCTGGACAGAACATTTTTCATAGAAAGAAAACAATACAACACACTTAACCTGAATAAATATCACTCATTAAAGTGTTTCTTTTTTATTTTTATTATTGTATAGGTGCTAGTTCTCTCAAGCATCTAAATGAACATATCCCAAGTACTCCGAGTGCTTTATATTTCTGCCTCACTGTTTTCCTTGGGAAATGTTATTTTCACTTCTCAGTGTGACCGTGCGCTCTACATAGAAGCCTTTGCAAATTCCTTAAAGAAAAGGTTCCTTCATCCATGTTCCATACGGGAACTGTGTTTCATACGGGAAAGTTCAGACTGTGTCATAACTTGAGGTCTGGCTCATATTTGTAGAAAACTGAAAGGTATCCAAGACCACCACCATATTTCCCATTCACATAACAGTTAAGGACCAGGATACAGGTACACTGTTGAAGGTCAACAAAAAGCCTGCATTCTTCATTTATACAGGAAGGTGATCGGAAAAGACTTTACAGTGTCTTTATAAGACATCAAATAAGGAGACTAGCAGATGTAGGTCAGTTAAGGAATGCCTAGGAAGCATGTCTCAAGCCTCAGCACATCCTTAGTACCACAAACAATAATGAGAAGATACTACGGAATCTGGAACATATGTGTCATAGAAGAGAAAAGCTAGTCATTCAGAATTCAGGTTTTGTAAGTATAAAGCAGTAGTCTCCGAGTCATCAGAGGATAGAAACTAAACCCATAGAAATCAAAATTAAATAAGGATTTAGGTAAACATCACACTTAATTCAAAAATTTAAAGAAAAGACGAAAACAAGAAAGAGTGAAGGTCAAGCACAGGGCTGCTGCGACCTTTCTTCCAACGTGGAAGGGGGCAGGATTGTGGTCATGATTTGGATACAAAGCCAGGAAGAAATGTGACACTAGACATTCAAGACACAGGGACTACTGGAGAGAGTTGTGGACCTACAAGGAGTTTCAGAAGCAGCAAACTGAAGCAAAGCAGCAGGCAGCACCTGAATTAAAATAAAAGTTAAGTGCAGATGAAGTTTCCCGCACAGCCCTGAAGCCAGAAGAACAATGAATAGCAACTCTATTAGCTTTCCCTTCATTTTCTTGGCATAGTATGGCGACACACAGTAGAAAGTGGGGGGAGAAAGAACAAGACCTGCTCAAAACCCTTTCAGTGCTAGGGCATCACTCACCGAAGATGCTGGTTTGGGTGGTGCTGACTGTATACTGCACATGGAGGCCCGAGGCACAGGCTCGGCCACAGGAGTTGGGGATGTGTCCTTAGACTTCTGAGAAAAGAAGCAAGTATTCTGAATAATTTTAGAATTGCCTGACTAATAAAACTGAACAATAGTGGCTCAGACACTACGAGATGTAAGTTGTAAGCATGAGTCTTTTGAATGCTTATTGAGCGATATGCATACCAAACCATGTTAAAAACTTTTCCGTTACTGTAATTGCAACTTGCAGACCCAGTTTCACATTTGTGAAAGGAGAACATTGATAAATACATACAACATCTCAAGTATTGATCTGAGAGCATATTTTAAGTTATAAATCTGCATGAATGTAAGGAATGATACTGAATAGGAGTCTCAGAGTGGTCCCTAAACTTGTAACCTCCGCAGCACTGGATATCTTGTGAGAAATTTATATTCTTAGGCTCTCACCACAATGCAGTGAGGAATTCTAGGGGCAGGGTCCCAGTAATTTCCAAATGCTTTTAATCCTGACACTTTAGCAAAGCTTTCCTACATGCAAAGCACCCAGGAGAAAGAGTAGTGCTAAAGCATGCTCTCATCATCCTTGAGAAACTGTACTGTTTACAATGACAGATGTTAGGGTTAAAGAAGCACCAGTATAGCTCAGAACCTTTTTAAGTAATTGCTTTAACAGGGACACACACACACACACACACACACACACACACAAAAAAAAAAAAAAAAAAAAAAAACCAACAACAAAAACCCATAAACAAACAAACAATAAAGCAACTAAGAGCCCTGCCGTGAGAATTTTTTAATAAAGGGTGTGTTGCACGAGGAACGGAAAGTACCAATAACAAAAGGTTGCTTTTGCAGAGCCTTCCCATTGAGTAATGTAGTAATGCAGTAAACCTGGTGGAAAGGAATCCACGACTAACATACACTAGTGGCATGTACAGAATCTGTTCACAGGGAGTGGCAACTTCAAGGTTGGAGTAGTGGAATGCTGTAACTAGAAACATCCTTCAAAAAGGATGTTATGTTATGTTCACTCTGGTGAACATAAAAGCGGGAAGGGCTGAGAGGCATGGCAATTTCATTTAACCAGCTCCGTGACAGCAATCAAAAGGGAAGCTTGGATATAAGCACTTCCCTGAAGGAAGGACTGCCGGTTTAAACTTCAAAAATGTTAGGGATAGGCTGGCAACAGAAAATATGTCTAGAAAAAGGCAGGAAGAAAACACCATGACAAAGGTGACACAAGTTTTCAGATTAAAAATGAATATTAGAACCCCTTAAGACATTATTAGAACATACTTCTATTTTCTCAGCGGGTATAGATGGTTTGTCTTGACATGTAGATCGGCCAAAATCTTCTGAAAGTTGCCCAATCAGCTCTGCTTCACTCAGGTGCTGTAACGAGAAATGCTGCATTATGAAGACGCTCTGCTCTGTAAAATCATAGGACAGTATTTTTTTTTTGAGGTTAATCTAGTTTAGCTACATTGTATTATCTAAAAACAAAAGCTAGCTTGTTAAGGTATATTCTTCATTTATTGATGTGAGGGGAAAAAAAATGGCATACACGTATAGATTACTTGCCACCTGAGTGCTGTGAAAGTGCTAAAGGTTTACTCACTCACCTGATAGGTCAGCTCTAGGAACTACACAGAAGTCCATGGCGAGGTCCAGACTTTTAGTCTGGCTAATCTCACTTTGTGATGATTTTATTTACAAGTACATTACAATAAAGTTTTAATTATTTAAAAAAAAATAGAGTAAATCATTTTTCAAAGTAACAATGGGATTTGCTATACACCTTTACTCAAATCAGATTTCCTGTTTTCTCCAATGAGAATTGCAGTTATTAAAGGTGACTATTCATTTCCTAGCCCTTAATGATTTTCTTTCAGAATAAAGCAGAGAAAACATATTCATGTACTCATTTTCTATAACCAGGGAAAGGAAGGGAGGAAAAATAGGGGGGATAGAAAACGGCCTCTGGCAGGAAAGTTTGATAGCCTCCCCCCCATGCGGGGATTGGGGATTCTATGAAAATATCCTGTGGTGAAAAGGAAGGAGGAGCAGAAAGAGAGGCAGTGGTGTGAGTGCTGCTTCTAGAAAGGACACGGCTGCTGCACTGAATTCACAGCAGCCGAACCTGAGTACAGGTGCCGGCACAGCACTCCATCACAGATGGGAGAGGGGGTCAAGAAAACACATAATTCTTTGAGGAGCTACTTACAGTTAACGCCTGGTCTACCAGGCATTAGAACACAGGAGCTATTTTTCTTTAGTGGTATATCTACTGAGAAAATGCCCATGCTCTAATAAATAACCCTACACATGGGCTCATGCAAGCAACACTAATTTTACTCAATGGCTCATTAAAAATGAAATGGAGCCGGGCGGTGGTGGCGCACGCCTTTAATCCCAGCACTCGGGAGGCAGAGCCAGGCGGATCTCTGTGAGTTCGAGGCCAGCCTGGGCTACCAAG